TCCACAAAGAGCTACCTTTGAAAACAGTCTGGAGACTTCAGTTGGTACAAAATAGGGCAGCCCACCTGTTTATTTATTTATTTAATTTAGCAAACTTATATGCCGCCCCATTCGCCTAAGCCTCGGGGCGGCTTACAAATAAATAAATATAATTAATACAATAAAATACAGATGGAGACATCCTGGCCAAAGTTGTTAAAATCAATAAATAGAATCAACAATTAAAATAACGTTTGAATAAAAAGGTCTTGGCCTGGTGCCGAAAAGCAAATAACAACGGCGCCAGGCAGACCTCTCTGGGGAGCGCATTCCATAGTTTGGGCGCCACCGCAGAGAAGGCCCTCCTCCGGGTACTCACCCTCCTAATGTCCTTCGCGGAGGGCTCCCGTGTTGACAGGGACAGGCAGATATGAACATATAAGCCCTGTCCTTTATTGTTTGAACTGGTTACCAGTTGAAATCTGGGGCCACTTTAAGGCTCTTATGTTAGTCTATAAAGCCCCACACAGCTTAGGGTTTGGATATCTAAAGGTTTCCTCCCATATACATCTACCTGGACCCTGAGGTCATCTGTGGAGGTCCTTCTCTGCGAACAACCTTTAAAAGAAGTAAGAAAGGTAGTGTTGGTGTCCCCGCTAACCAGGTGACTTACAGACCCCTAAACCAAATGCCAATAAGGTTCAGCAAGGCAGAGATTCGTTTGGTTCCTTTATTCAGCTGAGAAAAGCAACCAGGTGTCAGCTTCCCAATACACAGGCAGGAAGCAACACACCCACATTCCACCAACTCATCCTTCTTGTAGCTTTTTTCTTACTTTTTCTCACACAATCGCACCCCCATTGTTCCCTCATCCAATCTCCTCCCAGGGTCTGCCTGACCCTTTGCCCAATCCCCTTGCAGGGTCTGCATGGCCACTGCATGCCTGCCCTCGTGGAAGAGGCTCTCTGCATCCGATCCCTTCACAGGGGGAGCGTGATCACAGCGTGTCAGGCCTTGTGTAGGGGGTCGTCTTCTTCACACTACCCCTTTTGTCTTACCTTATCAACATTTCTTTGCCCCCCCTTTTTCTTCTCCAAAGCAAGCAGTTATACAGAAAGCAAATGGCGTTTATTGAGCTAACCAAGCTTTCATGCAAGCAGCTTTTCACAAAAGCAAATAGCGTTAGTTAAGCTAGAACCAAATAACATTAGTTAAGCTAATCAGGCCCCTTCAGTAGCCACTAGAGGAAGGGCCTTCTTGGCTGTGGAGCCTCAATTATGGAACCAGCTCACCAGGGTGGTGTGTCTGGGACCTGCACTTTATATATTTCAGCACCAGGTCAAAAGCTTTTTATTTTCCTGCCACTGTAAATGTTAAATATTAATACTCAGTGTTATATTGGTTTTTATTTATATGGTCATTGGTATACTGTGGATTTGGTATTATCTTTGTGTAATGCATTATAAGTAATACTACTTTTTGCATTATTGTTTATGATATTATACTTTGATGAATGTTTTTGACATCAGTGTATATACACTATGTTTTTATATGGTTTTTAATTTTTCTGTACACTGTTCTGAGAGCTTTTGCCAACTAAATGGTTTACAAAAACTTTAAACAAACAAATAAATAAAACTCAACATACATTTACATGTTTCTCCACAGATGATGTTAGATATTTCTTTGAATACTTTTTATTTTGGCAGACTACAACTTAAGAATAAAAATGCATATCTCTGGGCTACCCTTCTACATAATATAATGGATAGCTCAACCATAGGGTTGTTATAAAAAAATAACAGCTTGGCCTGTTTAACAGAGGTTTGATCTTCAGAAATTATACTTCTACATTGTATGGAGGGAAATAGCATCATGTGCTAATTGCTGCAGATAAAATATTCAGATCTTGACATCCCTATCAGATATTAGGCTTCAATCTTATGCAAGCATGTTGCTTAATATTATTTAGAGTTACATGCATCCTTGAGCTCACAGTTGGTTTTAGGTAAGAATTTACCTAAATCTACATAGGATTTCAGCTATGCATGACACTGATTCCCCATGAACTGCAATTTGCTAACTGCAATGTGTAGTGCAGTTCAAGTTCTCAAGCATCTAGAGTTTAGTGAAAATAGGCTCCCCAGATTCCCCCCACTTCATGGATAGTGAAATGAGGGGAAGCAGCTTTACCAAAGTTTCTCTTGAATGAGGATGAATTAGCAACGGTGGAGAGCTGCCTTTGCCCCCTATTTGTTTCTGGTCTTTGGAACAGCAGCAAGTGACAGCAGTGGCAATTGGTCTGGTAATTTGGCCAACATTTTGTATTCTTTATAACACTCAGGAACTTGCTTTGTTTCAAAGCAGCACAAGAAAAAATGTCAGATGCCACCTATGAAAAATGGTGAAGAATATTCAGCAAAAGTCCTTTCTTTTTCTTGGAGTGTTTAAAATCTCTTTAGGATCCCTCTGAGAAAGTTGCCCTATTTCCTGCTCAAGCCATGCACTTTCCAACCCCATGAAACTTTGTTCACTATAGCAAAGCTGTCCTCATATGATTTGCCTTCAGAACACTTCTGTCTCTAGGAATCTGAGAGAATAGCAGAGCTGTAGCTTGGAGGGAACCTGAGGTTCAAGTGGCACAGAATACCTTCTACCACTTTTGATTGGAGTTCTAGCTATGGCACTTTCTGGATAGGGATGGCCTGCTTTCAATAATCTATGTTCTGGTAAACCACACATTAGATTACTGCAAAGCAATCCATGTAGAGCTTTCTTTGAAGACTGCTCAGAGGCTGCATCTTGTGCAAAATGCAGCAGCTGTGGGACCAGAAGCTAGTTTTAACCTATAAATACAATAACATCATAAAATTTCACTGCAAGAATTTAAAAGCCAAATTTAAAAAACTGAACAATAAACAGTAAATCAATAAAGATCTCCTTGGAAATCTGGAGCACAGGAAATATTTGAATGCTGGGCTGAAAACAATTAAATGAAATTCAGTAGGGACAAATGCCAAGTCCTCAACCTAGGGGAAATGAACCCCAAATGCCATTGATACAAGATAGCCAATATGTGGCTCAACAGAAATGAAAAAGACCTTGGAGTTTTGTGAACAGCAGGCTAAATATGAGTGCACAGTGCAACACAGCTGCAAAATGGGCAAATGCTATCTTGGGATGCATTAATAAAAGTATTACTTCCAAATCATGGGATGTAGTAGTTCCCCTACACTCCTCACTAGTCAGACCCCATCTGATATACTGTGAAACGTTGCCCTTTGAGGAAAGACTGAGAGAATTGGGTATGTTTGCCTTAAGAAGAGAAGACTGGCGGGGGGGGGGGGACATGGTATCACTTCAGAAGTACCTGAAAATCTTACAAATAGGAGAAAAGATCCCTTCTCACACATATCAGTGTCGACACAGAGTTATCAACTAGTACTCGACAACCCAGATTCAGGCTAGATATCCAAAAAAGTTTCCTCACTGTCAGAGCAGTGGAACCAGTTGCATAGAAAGGTCATGATCTCTACCACACTACAGATAGTCAAGGTGAAACTGGGCAGTCATCTGAGTGGGATGGTGTAACTTGGTGTCCTGTAGCAGCAGGAGTTGGCGCTGATGGCCTTCCTGCCCCCTTCCAACACTCCTAATCTACGAATCTTTGATTCTGTGATCCAGGGGCCTGAGGGGATTATTCTGGTACTTTATCTTTTTGCCAGGCCTTTACATTTTTCTATAGTATTTTAAAGCTATTTTAATTAATTTTTAACTCTTAACATTGCTGCTTTATATTGTTTGTACTGTTTTGTTTATACTTTGGTGTAAACTGCCCAGGGAGCTTTGGCCATGTGGCATTATAGAAATAAAATAATAATAATATACAATTAGAAATGTTAAACAGCTGACATAGCCCTCCTCCGTGCGCCATTTAAAACCTCAATATGGAGAGAAGTCTTAACCTGGTGCTGAACGGGTTGGCACCAGGCAGCACTCTGGAAGGGGATCATTCCATAATGACTGGGACCACCACTGAGAAGGCCTTCTATTTTGCTGCTGCCAGCCTTGAAGGTAACACTTAGAGGAAGCCCTCTGCTATTGAATGCCAGATCTGAGTAGATCTAAGGCAGAAGTGACTTAACAGTGACTCATCATTCGTTAAATTGAGCACCTTGGATTGCTTGAATTGCCCACATATTTTTGGATACTGGGCAATATAAAGAACATAGCAACAGGAATAAATAAGATAAAACCAGTAATGCTTAATAGCATCCCTCAAAACAAATTCCAAAGGGGGAGTCATCTCCTGCAGCAAAAGCAGAGAGAGACTTGTGGCACTCTCGAAACTAAAACATTCCACCGGGTGAAATGGGCAGGAGCCACGAACACTTTTGCCATAAGAGGCTGTGCGTTCTTTGCTTTTTGTTGAGTCTTTCAAGACGCTGCAGCTGAAGTTTCATCCCGAACACCCGTCCCCCCCCGCCCCGCACGACCTGCCTTTCTTACAGCGCAACGCGCACCTCGAAGGTGCTGAGAGAGACACGACAGCTCCCCACCCCTGACGCAGAGCGGCGGGCGGGCGGGCAAAGGATGCCGAGCGTGTGAAGGCGGGGGCCGCAACAGGTGAGGAGGAGCAGGGCGCCTGTCCGGGGGCAGCAGCTGCCGCGTCTCCAGGCCTCTTGTTGAAGGGTCGCCTAGCAACCGCGCGGCCAATAGGGCGCTGCGTGGGGAAAGGAAGGCGGAGTGTGCGATTAACCCCGCGAGGCGCGCGTGGGAGGGGCCAGGTCGGCCAGTGGGTGGCGGGGCAGCGGCGGAGGCGGCGGAAGCGACTGAGGTTGGGGACCCGAAGCCGGCCTCCAGGCTGGCCGGGAAGACGTGGCTCCGCCATTCTCCGCAGCAGGTGGGCAGTGCCCGATGTCCGGCCAGTCAGGGGACGCGCAGCTGCCACCCAACCCAGGCAGAGGGCGGAGTGTGCGCGCTCCCCTCAGCCCCGGTTTCCCCGGAGCAGGTCTGGGCTGAGCTCTGCTCTGCGGGGGGCGGGGGCATCGGTAGGCACGTGGGAAACTGCGAGCGGGTGCTTGAGGCATGAAGAGGAAGACGCATGTGTGCACCTTGGCACACCTGGAGGTGCAGAGTGTGCTAAGTATGCAAGCATAGCAAGGGCGGGGGGAAGGGACTAAGTCCATGTGTTGGGCGAGAAAAATCCAGGGGGTGACGCCATAGACACCCATGTGTGCTTGCACGTATCTTCTCTCTAGGTGGGGGTCGCAGCCAACGTAGTCCTTAAATCTAAATATGATCCTAAATTTATGGGCCTGCAGTTGTTGGGAGGGGGGTTGTGGTAGGATATGAGAGGCAGCAAGGCGGAAATAAGGTTGCACATGCCCGGGAAGATTGCTGTCGTTCCTGGTGAAGGAAGAATTGTAGGCAGACGGTTGGAAGGAGACCCATGCGGCGGGTGGAGGGGGCGTTCCTTGAACATGTCTGTTGGCGGAGTATGATAACCACGGGGCGAGTAGCACTCTATGGGCGATGTATGCATAGAAGCGGTAACCTCGTGTTGCTTTCTGTCTGGGGTGCGTGTGTGAGAGATAACTTTAAAATGTCACCTTGTGCGATGACGTAACACTGTTTCCTTCTATACAGCTGCAGTTTCTCCAATATTCTGTGCTCATCACAAAATAGCAGTGCCAGATTTTTTGCCTCTCCCCTGGCATGGATAATTAGACCAATCCCCTTGAAATTTTGCAGGTTGTTTGTAGATTTGGCTAGCCATTGCGCCTGACTGACAAGCAGGGCCGTCTTAACAGCATTATGGGCCCTGGGCAAAGCAGTGTACTGGGGCCCCTACGACAACTACAACTACTGTTAATTTTGAAAGTTTTCCAATTTTCCAAGGGTTAACATACCCAGATTAGTATGGGGCCCACGGGCAGGTGCCCCTCAGGCCCATGTGTTAAGATGGCCCTGCTGACAAGGATATATGCCAGTTTGTTACATGCAATATGGGTTACATCTCATTTTCTAGCTTCTATGAAGTCATCAGAAAAAGGATTGGCACGGGATTGTCTAGCCATTGGGTAGGAGACTTTGTGCACTCCAAGTGATTTGGATTATAAATCCCATGAGCCCCAGCCAGCATGACAAATGTTGTGGGATTATGGTTTGGAAAGTAAAGGGTACCAGTTGCCTATCCTTGAGCTAGTCTGCGTATAGTTTTGGAATGCAAAACTGTGCTTAGTGCTTATCTTTATTAGGTAAGTATTTTAGCTCCCCAGACCTCTTAGGACAGGGGTCGGCAACCTTCAACACTCAAAGAGCCATTTGGACCCATTTCCCACACAAAAGAAAACACTGGGAGCCGCAAAAACCTTTTGACATTTAAAATGAAGATAACACTGCATATATCGTTATTTACCTTAATGCTATGTATGACTTCATTACAATTTAGCTGCAGCTCTTGTTCAGTCACTAAAAACTGTTATTTTTAATCTTACATTATAAACTAGTAGGACTCCTTTCATATATTTTGAATAGGAGAACAGCTTCCTGAAGAGTCAAAGGCAGTGCTAAAGGGCTGCATGCATTAAACAGCAAACCCCATAAGTTCGTCAGCAGTAAAAGCAAATGAATCTACCCATGTATCATTAAATGTTTGGTTTTCTTCAGAAACTTTTCTTCGATTTATCCATGGTTGGCCTATGGGGGGGGGGCTCAGTAAATCGGCGTGGGTCCACAGATGGGGGGCTGTGTCGGAGATATAGGTGTGTTTAGTGACTGATTAGCAGGTAAACAGTCAAGTGCTGTGAATTGTGACGGTCCCAAGCACAGCTTTTAAAGTTCAGATGAAGGAGATTACACTGGGACAAAGAGAATCTTCTCAGCAGTGTTTCATGTAACATGAGAGCCCGCAAGAAGCTTGTTTAACAGAGGAATATAGCGATTTACTTAACTAGCTAGCGCTTTGCTTCCAGCAGATCTGCGGCTGTGCCATGTTTTGAGCGACAGAGCCTCAGCAGAGGGGTTCAAGAGCCACGTGCGGCTCCGGAGCCGCGGGTTGCCTATCCCATCTTAGGAAGATGTTACAAAAAGCCAGAGTAGCATGGGAATGAGGGAACTGGGGAGAGAAAAAGACTTGATACAGTCGAAGTGTGTGCATGTTCAGAACCCAAGATGAAGGGAAGAAAGAAGGGTCTGCAGTCGTGTGATGGTTTAACAGTTAGACCTAGAGCTTCCCCTAGAGTAGGAGGGAACAAGATGAGGAAAAGTGTTGCATCTGCATCTTAGAAATACAGGATTCATGTGTTATATAGGTATGTATCTATCATGGGTGAAGCACACTTGCCCCTTTTGCCTGTGGATCAGTGGGAGAAATTTTGATATTAGCCAAGCTGAATATATCCCACCTTTTAAAGAGAACTTAAAGTGGATTACATCATTCTGTTCCTGCTGCTCTCAGTCCTATTTGCACAACAATAACCCTGTGAAGTAGATTGGGCTGAGGGTCTGACTGGCCCAAAGCCACCCAGTTGTCTCCATGGCTGAGTAGGAACCCAGATTGCCTGAGTGCCAGATCCACACTGTTTACGACTACACCATGCTGGCTGTCACATAATTATAGATGATGAACTAGGTAACAACAAAATTAACTGAAGTCAAATCAGGTAGCTTTACATACTAGTTGGAGGTGATGAACCTTCACAGATAAAGTCTCAGCTTCAGGTGAAATAAAAGTGCTTCTGTACGACAACTTAGTTCAGAATTTTTCAGGTGAACAAAATGAAATAAAAATAGAACTTTAGACTGACACTTTTGAGAGGGCTGGTTTTTTTAAAAAAAATCAGGTAACCTCCCTTGTGGACTGTAGAATGCTGTGGACATACTGTATCTTGATTTCAGTAAAATTTGACAAAATGCTTCATGACATTCTGATCACAAGCTAGCTAAAAGTGGGTTATTGGGTGGATCCATAGTTGGCTACAGAATCAGACTCAAAGAGTATTAATCAATGGCACCTTCTGTGACTGGGATGAGGTATCTCAGATATGCACTGACACACACATGCACTTATATTGATACCTCAGGGCCCAGTTCTGGGCCCAATAATAATTTGTATTAATAATTTGGATGAAGCAGTATAGGGAATGCTGATCAGATTTGCAGATGATACAAAATGGGTGGAGCAGCTAATACCATGAAAGACAGAAACAACTCTAAGTGCTTTTGTTAGGTCGGAGTGCTGGGCTGAAAGCCACCAAATGAAATTCAGTAGGGACAATGCCAAGTTCTACACGTGGGAAAAGGGAAACAAATGCACAGGTACAAGATGGGAGATACTTGACTGAAAAATACTACAGGTGAGAAGGATCTTGGAATTACTGTAGAGCACAGGTTGAATATGTGTCAACAATGTGATGTCACTACAAAAAAAGCTATGCTATATTGGGCTGCATTAATAGGACTATAGATTGCAAATCATGCGAGGTACTGGTTCCCCTCTATTCAGCATCAGTTAGACTCTATTGTGAGTACTGTGTCCAGTTCTGGGTACCACACTTCAAGAAGGATGCAGACAAACTGGAAAAACAAAGGTAACAAAAATGATCAGGGAACAGGGAACAAAGTCCTATGAGAAAAGACTAAAAGAGTTGCGTTTGTTTAGCCTTGAGAAAATTGAAGGGAGATATGATAGTACTTTTCAAATACTTGAAAGCTTGTTACACAAAGGAGTAGTAGGATCTCTTCTCAGTCATCCCAGAGTGCAGGCTGTAGAATAATGAAATTAAGTTACAGGAAGCCAGATTATGGCTAGATATCTGGAAAAAATCCTGACTGGTAGGGCAGTACAGCAGTCGAACCAACTACCTAGGGAATTTGTGGGCTCTGACACTGGAGACATTCAAGAGGCAGTTGGACAGCCATCTGCAGGAACACTTTAACTTGGAATCCTGCATTTAGCAGGGGGTTGGACTTGATGGCCTTACAGATACCTTCCAGTTCTATGGTTCTATCTCATCATGATGAGTTTAATCTAAAGCAACTTGTCCCTGGTGTCCCAGATCATTAAAACTGGCTGGCACATTTCTGTTATGCACAATCAAGTTGCAACTCCATTCAATTTTTTTCTGTTTTGTTTGCTCATAAGGAGAAATAATCTACCAACATTTTCTAATTTAGAAAGAAAAATGTAAAATAATACTGTTGCATAGATTTTACTAACAGTATAAATTATTTATTTCATTTCTATACTGTCCTGTAGTCAAAGCACTCTGAATGGCTTACAATGCTAAATTAAAAAAAAAAAAACCTCAACTCTAAGTCAGGCTAGAATATAAAGATAATGCCTATAAGACATTAAAAATAGTTTGTGCAGCAGCAGCATCATGCCCCTTCCAACTTCCTGCAGCAGACATCTTGCCTTTAGAAACATTAAAAATACAAGAAAGAAATCAAGAATTTATTAACTGATTTTATTGTTACACTGACTAATAGTTGAAGCTCTATATGTGATTAATAACAATAATGATACCTAACAAATAATAAAATACATTGTCGATAAAAGCAATAAAACACAATAAAATTCCATTAAAAATTAAAACCAGTCCATACTGCTAAGCCTGCAGAAAAGCAGCTGATAATATGTTCCCCACATCCCATGTGTGATTGAAGTTGGTAAATGCCTCAGCAAAAGAGAGGTCTTAACCTGGCTATGAAAAGATAATAAAGTCGGTGCTGGGAAGGCCTCGGTTGAGCAATCATTTCATGATTTGGGGGTACTTGTTGCCACCAGCTGAACCTCACTTGGAGGTGGCATTTGGACTAAGGCTTCAGATATTGAGCATAGTATCTGGGTACATTATGATTAGAAGAGGCATTCCATCAATTATTGTGGCCCCAAGTTGTGGTGGGCTGGCCAGAGGACTGCCTGGTCCCATTTATTACTTTGTTGCATTTTGCACAAGCTGCAGTTTATGAAATAGCTTAAAGGGCAACTCCATGTAGAGCACGTTACAGTAATCTAATTTAGAGAAAACCAGGGCATAAATTACTGAAGCCAGGCTATCCCTGCCCAGATATGGGCATAGTTGGGCCTCCAGGATATGTGATAGAAGGCCACCGCTACTCTGCTGAGACCACCAGAAGCTCAAGGGACAAAGATGGATTGAGGAACACCCCAGGCAACAAACCCGCTCTTTTGGGGGAAGTGTAATACCATCCAGAACAGGTTGAGCACCCTCTATCATGTCAGAATTACCACCCATTAACAACATTTTAGGCTTGTTTGGATTAAGCTTTAGTTAGATAGCCCTCATTTCAATGTATTAGAATTTTTAAAAGTTAGGTGTAGACTTACGTAATGGAATTACTTCTGTGGCCAGTTAAACCATCCTTTGCAAAAGTGGTTGTGCTTCATCCGGATAATGGAACTGTCTATGGAGAGGATTACTTGTCAAATGAAATGCTTAAGCTTTCATCAGCAGTCTGTGCAATCTAATCTTAGAACACGACTTTCTGTGTGCTGTTCCTTCTCATGGCGTAGCACCTTCTGTTGGTCTAATATGCATGCCTACATGAGGTCACTATTTGAAGTAAGTGGATCACTAAAGATTAATACTATGTGGATGCCTTGTTTCAACATTTGCAAAATAATTTGGATTTTTGGGGGGTGCTACTTAGAAATGGGCTGACTGGTGTGTATAAATTTTGACAAGAGCTTTTTTTTCCCTTATTGGTGATGCAGCATGTGATACATTGAAAGGCCATATGGTTGTACCATCATGCTCTTGAAACCAATTTATCTCTCAGCAGTTAATTCTGAACAAGTCTGTGTTAGATTTAAAGTGAGGCAGCAGTTCTACCATTTTAACCTTGTATTGAATTATTCAGTTCATCACTCTCTTAAAAATTTGTATTTTTTTATTTATTTGGGTATTTTTATCCCACCCAGTTACAACACATACAATATTATATGTATATACATATAAATAGTACATTTAAATTTTCCAACTAGTTTAGTATGGATTCAAGCCAAAATGTTCATTCTCTGTTGTCTGAATTATTTTTATTCGTAAACGACGGGGAGATTTAGGGCATAAATTGGGAAAATTGACCATGGAGCTGTTTTTTGCATGCAGTTTTTCAAGTTGTTTAAACAAAGAGTTCCAAACAGAAATAGCTAATTACCATATAATGCAGGTGCTTCTAAATTTTGGATGAATGTTTTACTACTTAAAAGTATGCTTCCATTCAAAGACTACTGAGAATCAAGTTGACTTAGAGCAAGAATCTGTAGTTTGGCACCACATGTACCATATCACCCATAGGCACCTGCAGTAATGCCCTCAAATAGGTCACCAACTTGGTGTTCATGGACACTCCAAAACTAGTTCTTTTTTTTAAGTTTTGTTTTTAATGTTTTTAAAAAAATCTGCATGGATTTGTATTAAATGAATTCAACTTTCCAGCAATTGGGCATGGAATTTGGATCCAAGGATCCAAATAAGTATCCATCTGAAGGTGGTCCATTTGAAATTTTTCGTATTTAAATATTGAAAACATTGTGCTAATCAGAATGTTTTTGTACAATACAATGATGATCCTGTATTTCTTTTTTGAAAGTTACAGTAAAGCTTCGGATACTGATGAAGCAAAGTTAGTCTGGACTAGTCCATATAGGAGCTCTTTGGACTTCCTTTTATTATGCTAAAATAGTGGTGCTTTTAGGATTTACATTATTGTACTCTCCAATAGGAAATATGAGTTTTTTTGCAGTATACATACATGTACAACATTGATGGATGAACAATGTCTCTTGTCAGTAATACTGGATATAGGCTCTGGTATTACCAGTTACATAAACTTAATTTTTAAGTAAAAAACTCTTGTGACACTGAAAAGTGATTAGAATGTGCAAACTGATGTAGTAGCTGTCATCCATTTCATAAGGGTACCACCACAGGAAAGTCCATTTAAGATGTTGGTAGGTTTAATAAAGTTGGAATGCTGGCACTGTTGTAGTTGGGAACAGTTCTTCAGACTTAGCTCAGTGCTACAGTATACATCTTTATCAAAGTAGCTGATATGATGACTTTTTGTGTACTTTTCCAGGCACAGGAGTTTTTCTGTTAATTTCTCACACAAAGCCATAAAAGATCTCATTAACATTTATCTTTGCTTTTTCAGAAGACTCTAAGAATGCACAGTTATTCCATTGCCTTGCTAAATTCTGCCCTTGTTCCTTTCCCACAACTTTTTCATCTTCCAAATCGTACTTGTTGCCAACCAGAATCATTGGTACATCAATGCCTTTGACTTGAAGAATCTGTTCTCTTAGATCATGCAAATCATTAAATGTAGACTGTCCTGTAATGGAATATACTAAAGCAAATCCTTGATCATTTTTCATGCAGAGTTCTCTCATGGCTATAAACTGTAAAGTCCTCAGATCAATGGATTACTGGAAGTGAATACTATCCTTCCAATATTGTACTGTCCAAACTTTTAACTGGCAAGAGGCTGCAAAGAATCTATTTATATTATATATAATATTATGAAGCAGGTAAATCATTTAAACACATGTGTACATCACTGTGCAGTAATGTCCCCACAAAATGAAGCATCTACTGGTCATTACTGGACATATCACATTAGCTGTACTGTACTACCAGTCATTAGCTGAATTTGACATTCCCTTTTTATAAAAATGTCGCCATGTCATGTGTATTATTTCCTGTTGATCAACATGCAGCCAAAGAACCATAGACATGACAAGAGACCAAAGTGGCAATCTACTGATTAGACATTTTGTGGTCGTGCCCACAGCTGTTTCTCAAATTCCTAAATGTTCTTACAGGTCTAAAAGGTTAGGAGGAGACCCTGACTTAGGTTGTGAGCACTGGAATTCAAACCACTGTATATGGCCAGAAATCTTCCTGGGCCAGGGAGCATTTCTTAGCTTGTCCTACCATATAAGATCATTGTGATAATGAGAGCTGTGCCATCTGTGCTAATTTGAGGTTTTTGGAAGAACATGGGGGTTGGAATACAAATGTCATAAATATTGATACATTGCTTTTGAGTGTTTTTTCAGATATAACTAGCCTCTATGCATTCCTTTCTTGGGTGCGGGGAAGAGGGTTATGCCACAGCCAGGGAGCCCATAATTATTATGGTTTTTTATAAACATGGCAGAAGCTGCTTATCCACTTTAAGCAACTATTTCTGAAGGTTCTGTTCTCCTATCGTCAAGATGGCTGACTGTTTGCAATTACAAAACAACAGTATTTTTGATACTGCCTGGAATTGACAGTATCAAAAATAAATTATGGCAGTGGAAGTAAGCTTACCATTACACAGCCTTGCCTACTTGGGTCTGACCTTAGTGAAGGAGTATTGTTTTTCAATTCTGAAAATTACGATTTTTTTAAAAAAAATACGAAGACTGCCTACCATGCCCCCCTCTTTCAAAATTACATTGGGTCATTTGGAAGTTTGCCCTCTTAGTAATACAGTTTCTTTTTCTTTTGTATAATCCCTTATTTAGGAGGCTGGGATGCATATTGTCTAAATGCTGGCAAGTTTCCCCCTCAGTGTGATGAACACAGGGAGATGATGGGAACTAAAATTGCATGTTGCATATCTGTTTCCAATTTACAATGCCTGATGGCACCTTCTGGCAGTGTGTTTATGATAAAGATTAATAGCATGTTGATGTTTTAATCTGAAATCCCAGGCCAAATTGTCCTTCCATTTGATACCCTTATAAATACTGATTTGGTTTAATGAATCTGAAAATGTAGAATGTGTTTTTAACCAAGCAGAACTCTTGTGCGCCTGCTTTAGCCCCTTGTTTGAATTTAAATACTCATGTTGATCTAAAACATTCTTGCTATTTTAGGAGATGCTTATGTAGGAGATTAAAGCTGCAGTGGCCATAATGCCCCTTCTCTGTCAACGCTGTTGATCAGATAGTCCAGATGTATTAGTTGCTATGGGAGATTGGAACACTGTTACAGTGTCAGCACCGTCACCAGGTAAAGTCGTAAGTTGAAATTTGGCTATGTTTAATATAGAATATTTAATTATACAGATAGTTAGCATTTGCTTAGCATTTGCTGAGATAGGAGGTTGAGCATATGCACAAAAAAGCTAGCTACATCATTTAAATGAAAATGTAAAGTGATGTGGTGGCATTTAGTACATAATGCTTAAAAGCTAGGTTTTGCAGAAGTGTCATAAATTCTGTATGTGTAGCTAAGTACTCCCACTTAATAGTGAGAAAAGTTGAAGCATACAGTGTTGTTATCTGAAAGAAATCAGTAGCACTAATATTAACTTATCTGTGAAAAGTAATGCAAGTAGATCCCTTACTCAAGTTTCCTAGCAAAGATTTTGGAACTGTTGTGATAAATAGTCTGCCAGATACTGGAGGTTTGTGTTTGTAATACAGCTTTTCTCCCAGATCTAAATAATGTAGAGTGGCATTCCTGAGCCTCATATTATTTGCCGTTATTGTGCTGGACTTAAGCTTGGCTTGGAGCTGCCTTAAGTGGTCTTTGATGCAGAAGCCGGGAAATATGTTGTAAGCCGCCCCGAGGCTCCGGCAAGGGGCGGCATAGAAATGTTTTAATAAATAAATAAAATAAAATAAAATATATATTTGATTAAAATAATAAGTGACTGCTGCAGTTGCCTTCTCCTGTAATATTTTGTTGTTGTTTTTTCCTCTCTAGAGACTAGTATTACTTGGTATACCTCAGCCAAAAATATGTCCCCCTCAAGCTTGAGTATGCAGCAAGTGCTATGCTCACCACTGCCTTCCTCCAAAAGTGTGCACAGCCTTTGCAGTGCCTTCTGCACAGAAGAGAATGTTGAGCAGAGCCTCTCCTATCTTAACAGGGTAAAGCAACATGTTCTGTAACTATATTTCTGTTGCAAACAAATTCCCCCACAGAGCCTCCCTTACCCCACCTCTGCCATCTTCACCTGCAGAAATAGCAGGTAATCATGATAGAGATGTGAATGTTGTTGGAGATGGATTTAAAAATTACTTCTCTACTTTGCTAGGAGCTGACCACACTTGGCTTCCCTTCGCTTTATTCTGACTCCAAAGGTAAAGAGTTAAGTGTAGTATCAGCGTTAAACTGTATGAACGAGCTGCTCTTGCTTCAGCATAAGACTCTGCGAGCTCAGGAAGAAGCAGAAACTCAGCACTTGAAACTGGGCAGTGATATGGACCATCTGCAGAATTGCTACACTAAAGTGAAGGTAAACTTCCTGCGCTCTTTAATCTGTGAAAATTCTCTATTTTCTGGGATTTATTTAATTGCACTTCTATACTGAAAGCCCAGAGGCTCTTTGGGTGGTTTACAGTGTTAAAAAGCATTTAAACAAGCAACTAAATAACCATATTTCAGTTAAACAATAAAACCAATACAGCTACATCAACAACAACACACAGTGACTGTAATCAAGTTGACGTGTGGCATGGCAGCAATAATGATAAAAACAATAATAAAAATTACAATGATCTATTAAAATATCTGGAAAATAAAAGGGTTTTCACCTGGCACTGAAAAGAAAAAAGATACGGTACCAGGAGTACCTCTTTGGGGAACGTGTATCAAAGACTGGGTGCCTCCACTGAAAAGGCCCTTACTTCTTGGAGGGGGGAGCTCCCTGAGAAGGACCTCAAAGGATGAACTTGAGGCTCAGGTAGGAGAATATGGAACCGAGTAATTCTTCAGGTAATCTGTCCCCAAAACATTTAGGGCTAGCACTTTGAATTGGGCAAGACTTCAACTGGCAAGCAGTGTAACTGAGAGAGGACTGACATCCTCCAACATCACTTCCGTCTTCTCTGGATTGAATTTAAACTTATTGGCTGTCATCCAGCCCATTATCGAGTCCAGACACTGGTTCAGAACAGCCATTGCCTCACCTGGGTTGATGAAAAACAGGTAGAGCAGAGTGTCATCTGCATGCTGATGGTACTTCACTCCAAACCTCCAGATAACCTCTCCCAGCAGTTTCATGTAGATGTTAAACAGCATGGGGGGTAGGATGGAAATCCTGTGGTGCCCCACGACATAACTGCCATGGGGCCAAGACACTATGTCCCAGCACCACCTCCTGGAATCAGCTGGTCAGATAGGAATGGAAACACCACAAAGCAGTGCCTCCAACTCCCAACCCAGCCAGCCTATCCAGAAGGATACTATTGTTGATGGTATGAAAAGCTGCTGAGTGGTCCAGAAGAGCCAACAGGGATGAACTTCCCCTGTCTCTCTCCTGGCAAAGGTCATCCCACAAGGTGACCAAGGCAGTTTCCATTGCAAAACCAGGAATGAAACCAGACTGAAATGGATCTAGGTACAGGCAGTCCCTGGGTTACAAATGAGTTCCATTTCTGAGAAAACAGAAATTTCTTTTTAAGTCAAATTTGTATGCAGGTCAGATCATGAGTAGTCAGCCCTCCGCATTTGCAGCAGTTAGGGTTAGTTTTGAGATGCTGAGCTAATGAAATCCAAATTTCTTGTATCTTTCATCTTCTAAGTAGATTTAGGAGTTTCTCTTGCAAGTAAATCAAATGTTTTAAATAAGTATTTGTGGACCACATAACTCACTTAGAATGCTCCCTTTATGGTAAGAACTCTGTACTGAGTTATGAACCAGCTTCAACTTTGACACCAACTCAAGTTTTAGCTTCTTTGCATGCTGCAATGTAGGTATGAATTCTAGTGTATACCAAGCAAAAGCTAAGAGAAATGAATGTAAAGTTAAGATAGCACTTTAAATAACTACCAGTGTGGTAATTATTTGAAAAGCTATCTTAACTTTATGTTAATTCACTGCACTTAGTGATCATTCACTGCTGTATCTTTTCTGTTGGACCTTCATAGTAGCATCTCACTTTCTCATCCATGGTAGTGCTGTGTCGGATAACATGTGTGTCTCCATCCAATACAGCACCATTATACAAAGCCTGTATATGCAGCACATTTTGGCTGTGTTAATGATAGTCATCTTTCCCCTTCTAACCTCAATGTTCTATTAGAGATTAAGTCTAGAAGAGAAGGATTGCTGCATGTAAAGCTACCAATGCACTGCACTAATGCATTGTTCTCATCGAAGAGACAGTATGATATGTAAGATGAATACAAACAGGGAAACCTATCAAGCCAGAAAATTGTATTGGTGTTATTCATAAGTAAGTAGCTTCCACTGTGGTGTCAATGGTGCAAGAGGAGCAAGAGTATTGAATACTGCCCCAAGTATGGTCCTCCCACAGTCTAAACTCAGAATCACAGAGTTGGAAGGACCCATTTAAGCCATCAAGTCCAGTTACTTTCTAAGTGCAGGAGTTCAGTTCAAAGGATCCCTGACAGGTGGCTGCCTAGTCCCTTGCTTGAATACTCCAGTGATCCAACACCTCCTTAAGCATTTGGATTTATTGTCTGAGAAAGTTTTCCTGATAAATGTATTGCTGTTACTTTATTGCTCTAAGCATGTATGTTTAAATTAATATTATTCTCTTGCTGTATATATTGTAAGCTACCCAGAGAGCCTTCTGGGCTAATGGTAGAAATTTAATAGATAAATAAATCATCAAAATCTGCCTTCCTGTAACTTAAGCCTCCTATTTCATGTACTGCAGTCATGGATAACAGCAAACATAATGTGACCCTCCTCAGTGTGAGAAGTTGAAAAGCCCTGTCATGGCCCTAACCCTCAGACTTCTCATTTCACCATATCCATTTCCTTCCTTCTTTCTTGTAGGACATAGTTTCTGGTCCCTGATCAACTTTGTTGCCCTTCTGTAAATTAGTTTCAATTTACCTGAATCCTTCTAGACATAAGTATCCAAGGAGAAGTCTGACCACGGCAGAGTAGAACGGAACTATCACATCTTCTGATTTTGAAACTGTACTGCTGTGAATATAATCTAAAATGGAATTTGCCTTTTTGCAGCCATATCACACTTCTGACTCATATTCAGTTTGTGTTCAACTCTAGCTCCAGGATCCTTTTCACTTGTATTGATAGTTGTATTCACCAGTATCCATCATCTTACACCTGTGCATTTTGTTTCTGTTTCCTAACTTTGCATTTGTGTCTGTTAAATCTCATTCTGCTATTTTCCTCACAGTCGTCTGACCTATCAAGAGCATTTTGAAATTTGTTTCTGACCGACCTCTAAGGCTACCCTACTCAGTGTGTCATCTGCAAATGGGATAAACATCCCCCTGCCCCACAACTTCTTCCTCTGAGTTATTAATACAAATGCTAACAAGTGCAGAGCCCTGGACTGAGCTCCACAGCTCCCCATTTGATACTTCCCTCCAGTCTGATGAGATACCATTGACACACACGCAAGCTATGGATCCACCCAGTTAGCAGCAGTGCAGTCCAGCTCTTACTTAACTAGCTTGCTGATTGGAATATCATGGGTCACTTTGTCATATGCCTTGCTGAAGTCGAGAGATACTGTGCCTAGATATGTGATTAAGAAGCAGATTGAATATGATCTTATAATAGCAGACATAAATTAAGTTCCTACTTTATTCACTTAAATCCATGAAGGTAATGTGCTAGTACTCTAGAGAGTAATAGTGTTATGACATCTAGAACTCAGTCACTTAATGTGAAATGTATATAATTTACATTACTGAAAATTGCAATTCCAGTAGTTCAGCAATAGCCAATGAAGATTGGCCCTTTCTGGTACATTCAAAGTGAATTGTAGGCCATTTTTCTTTCCTTTTTAAAAGGAACAGCTGGAAGCATCTAGAAGAGAAATTGTTGGACTTCAGGAAAGGGATAGACAACTGCAGTGCAAGAACAAGAATCTGCACCAGTTACTCAAAAATGAAAAAGATGAGGTTAGTCAGCCTTTGCTTCTGTGGCAATTGCACGGATCACTTTGAGAGATGTATACATACATTACATGCGTGCGCGTGCACACACATGGATGCATATTTAGTAAATATGCATACCTTTAATCCTATAGAAATTCCACTAAGGGGGGGTTATTGAAACCTGTCTTTGCGGTGTTCCTGTGTGATCATATAGCAAATAAATTTGTCATGCTTGTTGACAGGCAGTTTGTGATCAAAAATTCTGTAAACCTATGTTCTGTGCAAATAGGAGACTATATTGGGGCATATGTGGCCTAGATATCCTGTGGGGGATAAATTGCTTGCATGGTTTAAAACTCAAATTGAGGGAAGAAGTAATTGAGGGAGAATTGACACTTCAGACTGCTAGGGTAACCTGACAAATTTTGAAGCCTGATAGCTGGTAGAATGAAGTGGAAGAACACCAAGTGTTCAAAACAAGTCCAGTGTAGCTTCTGGGATTGTCAAGGCTGCACTGTTAAAACAGATCTCCTGACACTTGGCTTGCTATCTTGGCTTACTTGGTTGTTGAATGTATCTAGTGGACACAGTACTTTATTCACCTCTTCCTACCTGATACCGTGGGGCTTACAGAAGCCCCATAAGGAAAGGTTCTGCAGCTTTTGGAGACCAAGCTTCTTCAGTTCATCTTAGTATACTGCTATAAATATCGTGGGGTAAATGAGATGTAATTTCAGATTGAGTTCTCTAGCCATATGTTGAGCTTTTCCAAGTTTCCTTCTCTGATCAGATATTTCCTTGGGTAATCTTAGGAAAACAATTTTATCTTAAACTGGACTCCTCTGAAACTTCTCCTTTTGCCTAGGGGTACAGAGGAGGTATTCTTTAGTTGATACATGCAAGAGCTTTACAATTACAGGTCTCACTGTCACTCCACAAGTAGGACCAGAAATAGGGCAAGGATGTTAAATACCAAGATGAAAACTTCCATTGCAGGACTAAATCCACATGATCCATCAGTCTTGCCTCCAGAGGAGGCAAGCCAAGCAATCTCAGGCAAGCCAAGAAATCTCAAATTGGCCCTCTGAGAGGAGGCTTCCGAAAATGAAACATGAGCAGAAGTTGCATTTTGGGAAACTTGCACATTGGAGACTCATGCAATAACTCTGTCCATGCTGTTCTATCTTGTTAGACTACTTAGTTATCTTCAACAACATATTCCTCAGCAGAGCAACAATTTCATTTTTCTCCCCCTCTCTTTGCTCCTGTCTTAGAGATCTTGGCGGGATGAGGCTGAGGAATTGGTGGAAGTCCAACACCTTTCTTAGACTGAGAAGCTGCCATAGTCGAATACTTCCCAAAGCTCACTAACATACAGCTTCTCTTGGGCTTGAAGCAATTACAAAAATAAAACAACATGCAACACTACATACAGTCTTGGGTAAAATAAGAACAATAAACAAAAATACAGATGAATTGGAGATAAAACGTTTAATATTTTCAAAGCTGAAAATTAAGAGATGGTAAGGAGCGGTAGACAACATGTGTCACCATCTCAGCTGGTAGTCTGTGCACTGCACATTTAATGGCAACATCAGAGCCACAGACAATCTTGTGTATGTATCATTTGGGACCTGGGATGGGGCCAGCACATGTTAGAACGGAGCCCCATACAGACCGCTGTTGCTTTTCTCTTGGACTGGTATAGTGCTTGAAATAGCCCATTCCACCATTGTACTGAGGATATTACAACCCTTGGAGGTCCTCATAGCATCAAGATCCTTGCTACCAATGAGAGCTCGATTCTAAGTCTTACCTCAGAGGGTGGGAACTCTTCTATGAAGACACTGCATTTTGGATGACTCCACTGCTGCCACCCCAAGCTCTATTGCTAACTCCTTGACTTGCAGCACTTCCGGATCTTTCACTGACCATGTCATTGCCTCTGCCATGCCACCAAATCAGTCATTGTCTACTTCCCCAGTACTTTCTGGACCAAGAGCTGAGTCTCCACTTCCTGCCCAGAAGATTAATTGCTGGATATGGTCTACTCATCCTTGGTGGTCCTGTCTCTCATTGCCTGAGGCAGCTACAGGAACCCAGGATCCAGTCTCTCCATCAGAAAACTTGGACTGTTTCTCGGATCAGGTCTCCTGAATGATTCAGTCTGTGGGCCTGGACACACAGCAACTGATAGAATGAGGTTCCTGGTATTTGATATGGTTGGTCTGTGTGGAAGCATTGACCCTGGTTGCTATACTGTTTCTACCAATGCTTCTGTAGATGCTAGAGGATGCCATCCTCTATGGCTGCAATTTCAATATAGCTCAAGAATATGCATAGGATGCAGGAGAAAGACATAGACTTCCTTTCCAACATTCATAACTGAACTCAAGCAATGTTGAGTCTGCCCAGGAAAGGTCACGTTTAGAACACCCCACACCAGCTGACAGGGAACATTGCTACCTGGACCTGATGGGGAGCTACATATACTTATCTTTCACTTTGGGACTGAGGGTAGCAAACTACCAGGATGCCACGGCTTGGTTTTACTCTTTCTTTGGGACAAAATTGGCTGCTCCTCTGACCACCTGCCAGAGGACTAAAGAGAGCTGGCCAGGGTCTTCAAAGCCAAAGCATGGCGCCTCTTCTGCCAGCCAACTACTTCAGCTCACTTTTCCAGTGAGATACGAGCTTTCTGAATGGATCTGCCATTCCTAGCCTTCCTTAGAGACAAGGTGGTGCTGCATCCAGACCTCTCTTTCAGGGCATTGTTTTGCCTGGGTTTTTTGCATCCCCCACAGATCTGATAGAATCAACTTTACATGCACTGGACATTCATTCCTTCATTCCTACTATTCCAAGACAAGAGTCGTTTTGACATTCTCAAAAAATTTTTATTTCCTACAGCAGCAAGAACTTGTTTATATCTGTGCAAAGACTAGTGGTTTGGGTGGGGGAGACAATCTCCCTAGTTTGAATTTGACTCCTGTACTCTGGCAATGGCAACTTCCATTGTTCTACATGCTGGAATTCCTGTGTAGAGCAGCCACCTGGTCTGCCCCATCGATTGTTCTGAAACACTACAGACCCAATGCTAGTGCAGTAGAGTTGTACCTTTAGGAGAACAGTCCTCACCTTGGTTCCCTGGTAATGGCACCAACCCACTTCTGGAAAGGTAAGTTTGCTAATGACCCATACGTGTGATGCACAGAAGCCTTGAAGAAGAAAGGCAGGGTTGCTTTCTTGTAACTGTCATTCTTCAAGTGGTTATCTGTGCATTCACATGACTTCTCCATTGTCCCTCTTCAGTGTCATACTACCAAGATGTTTATTGGCTAGAAATTGGTTGCAGCAAAGGTCAAGGGCGGTCTATCAGATCTTACCTCTATCCTAAGGGCACAATGTCAATCTCAAGTTAACTGAATGGGCAGGAACTCTTCTTAATATGCAAACACCAAGGGTGGGTGAAGTGCTCCAGCCAAAACTCTCTCAGCTTTGAAAACTTCTCACCACAGGCTCCATGCAGACTGTTGACGGGGACTGGGCATTATGCTGACATGACTCCAGTCCTCCGTCAGCTTCACTGGCTTCCCATTCAAGTCTGGGCCCAATTCAAGGTGTTGGTGATGACCTATAAAGCCCTAAACGGCTTGGGTCCTGGCTACCTGAAGGAGCGCTTACGTCCATATATGCCCGCCCGCCCCCTGAGATCAGCGGGAGAGGCCCTTCTCCAGGAACCCTCCGTGAAGGAAATTAGGAGGATAGGTACTCGGAGGAGGGCTTTCTCTGCGGTGGCGCCCCATCTATGGAATGCGCTCCCCAAAGAGGTCCACCTGGCGCTGTCGTTATTAGTTTTTCGGCGCCAGGAGAAGACCTTTTTATTCAAGCGTCATTTTAATTGTTAATGTTATTTTTATTTTAAAGTTTTTTGGCCAGGGCGACTTATTTTATACTGGTATGTGTATTTTATATTGTTATTTATGTATTTTAATTTATTTATTTGTAAGCCGCCCCGAGGCTTCGGTGATGGGGCGGCCTAGAAATTTTCCAAACAAACAAACAAACAAACAAACAAACAAATAAATAGAGTCTATATATGTTGATGTGCAGATGACCATTGGAAGAACATTACAAGTAAGCATCTGATCAATGTGTTTACATGATTACTTTTTGAAGATTATATGAAGGTAAATAAAGAGCCCCTGATTTTTATTAGTAGATTTTTTTCTCCTCTGTTTAGCACAACTGTTCCATCCTTACGAAGTGTAAAAACAAAGCAAAAGTGAAGTTGAGCTGGGTCAAGTGGTAATTATCTGGAAGGGACTGTTCATTTAAATAGCCATTAATCATATACTTTTAAAAATAATAGGCATCTTCATTTTTCATTGTGGGTAAACCTCTGAAATTCTGGAATTAATTTGAATTCTTTGATACATGAATAGCAGAATTTCTGGTAGAACTAGTTTCTTATTAGACAGCAATTTTTAATTTGAAAATAAATGTATGTATTGCAGGTACAAAAACTACAGAATATTGTGGCAAGTCGAGCAACACAGTATAATCATGATATGAAGAGGAAAGAAAGAGAATACAACAAACTGAGAGAGCGCTTTCACCAACTCCTTATGAATAAAAAGGATAAAAAAATGGGTATAACTTTAAAACATTTTGCTGGGGTAGAAATTGTGATGTGGAATTTACTCCTTTTTGTTCAAGTTTCAAATGTCCTTTGTTGTTTCCTCACTATCTTTTGTGCTGTTTATTCACATTCAAGTATGTAGCAGAAATGTAAAGAGCAACAAAAGAACAATGAAAACTTTGCCTTTGGGAGTTTAGATCAAATAAAATTATTTATTGGTGGAGTGTAAAATGACTGTCCCATTCACTTAAGGCACCAGTTGCAAAATTTAAGGTCAGTTTATCTCTTGGTGTGTGTGAGATGCATTTTCTCTCCTTGATGGAATGTCTCTCCTTGTAGCCATGGACGTTCTAAACTACATAGGTAGAGCTGATGGCAAGAGAGGTGCATGGAGAACAGGGAAAACAGAAGCTAGGTGAGCTGGTCACTGTATAGCTATTTTTTTGTCACTGCAGCATAGTCTATGTTTACTTATTCTAAATGCTCTGCTTTCAGGAATGAAGAAGAAATGTACAAAGCTCTTTTAAATGAATATGAACAGCGCCAGAAACAGCTTCTGGTGGAAAATGCTGAACTCAAAAAGCTACTTCAACAAATGAAGAAGGAGATAATTTCTCTTCTTCCACCACAGAAGCAGAAACCTAAAGAGCAGGCTGAAGATTGCAAAGAAACTGTAAGTGTATGTAGAGAACCTTTATGTAAACATTTTAAAAAATTCATCGTGTGTTAGTCATATACCATAGAATCATAGAATAGTAGAGTTCGAAGGGGCCATGAAGACCATTGGGTCCAATCCCCTGCTGTTGCTGGACACCAATTTACACCATTCCACTCAAGTTTACCTTGTAAATTTTTAAATTCTCCCAAATGCAGTTTATCTCAGCTTAGTTTTAAAGGGCTAGAATTCATTCTAGTGGCTGTTTCTTGGGTAACTCTGAATCTGGTTTATTTTGTTTATCTGTCAGTTGCTTTTCAGGTCCAAGTCAGCACCAAAGCAGCAAACAAAGTATAAGACTAAAAAATACAATAATACCAACACTTTGAAATTCAGATATACAAAATGAATACATTAAAAATCAAATCATATGCATGCATAGAATTATACCCTAAATAGAAAGGAGCCAGTATTAGAAAAATTGCAGGACCAGAGAGTAAAGAAAATAAAAATCCAGTGCCACAGCAGTTTGACCAATGAGACACACTAGTTAAAAATGATCGGAGAGGTATGGAGGCAAGCTTCACCTTTGTGATGCTCCTGCCATGCATAGAAGGCCTGCACCCGTTCCAAGTTCAGCGGGTTACAGAGAGCCTCCTTGGATTACATCTTCAGTTAGAGGACCTATATATATTTGTGTCCTCTTTTTTTACATTGTTTTGTAATACATTCTGATCATTTCCACCATATTGATAGTAAAGCATTAATTGGTACTCTTGAGTACAAAAGAGAGCAGGAGCAAGTTTTTGGAGAAATGTTTGCAAATTCCTAATTTTTTAAAGAATGCACTTTGAAATCAATATTTTTCAAAAACAAACCACATTTCCAGGCTTCAGTTGGTGCAGAGGAAATTTGAAAAAGATGCACAGAAATGTGCATTCTTCCCATTGGAAATGCACCCTTTTCTCATTTGATCAAGCCTAAAACAAGGTAGAAAACAAAATTTAGAGTTAACTGAAATGAGCTTTAAAATTATTTTTGAGAATCTCAAGTTGCTTAAAAAGAAAGGAGGTACTGGTTGAGGCAAGATTTTTCTTTTAAGTGCTGCTTCTGGAGGAGACATATACATGACCCATGTAAATATAAGTAGATTCATAGGTGCATGCATTGCAATTGTAAATTGGATGCTCCCAGATTAATTTAGGGTTAGGGCTAATTAAGGGTAATTGTTGCAATTAAGGCTGGCTTGCTTGCTTGTTTGCTTTCTTTACTAAACTACCTGATAGCCTTGGTGCTTTACAAGATGTTATATACATTAAATAAAATAGAAACAGCAGTTAAAAATCACTATAAAAATATTATCATACAAAACTTAAAACCAAATTTAAAACAAATATAAAAAACTGTAATAGCTGAAATTGGCCTGTTTAGCAGCTAGAAAAAGCCCCAATATTATAATAACTAACTACGTGCTGTGTGGTAGAGGACAGTCTTAACCTGACACTGAGAAGATATTCAAGTTGGCACCAGGAAGGCCTCCAGTGGATCATATTTAGGATTTCTAAACCATTTTTTAACTCAGATAAATTTTCAAGGTGGAGAATGATATTAAAAAATACATGTACCATAAGTTGCATATTAAAATGCAAATTAAATCAGTAGCACTATCTTACCATCAGAAAGAACATATATAAACTAACCTATGCTTAGTTCTGAATTTTACTGTTGTTGTTTCACAATTATATAAGTTATAACCTTTTCATCTTTTAGATCCTGTCAGACATGGAAGAGGATTCTGGAGAAGCAAATAAAGAGAATATGTGGGAACTTTCTTGTGAGACAGTGCGTGAACAGCTTGCTAACAGCATTCGCAAACAATGGAGAATGCTGAAAAATCATGTGGAAAACCTTGATAACCAAGGTAAAGCTGAGAACAGAATTGCCTTCGTGACATCTTTTGCTTTGCTGCAGTAAGCCAATTGAGTACTAGTTATGGAAAGGTCCAATTGTGATATAGCTGCCTGATGGTGATATGGTCACTGCAAAATGTTTCAAGCAATGGATTTGGGTTCAGTCATAGTTCCAGTATTAGTCATAACTGACTGGAGTTCCATTCCTTTTAATGGGGTTCGTCTAGGAATGACTAATCCAACCCTAATAGAAATAGAGAATTTTCCTAAGCACAGTTGAACAGCTGGATGAAAGTTATATTTAACCATAATTATATTCAGGATAAAACACTATACTGTTAAGAAACAGGGAGAATAAATATATGAAAGTCATAGTCTGGTACACAGTGTAATAACCAAAATAAAAATGTTTACTCGCATGTTTGCTTTTAATTTGCATTATTGCTTGGCCTCCTTTCACCTGCAGTTAATTGATAAACAGTTAACTTTATTCTGAATTTGTTCAGGTGTAATAGTTTTAAGAATACTACTCCTGTTGTGTTTTCCTCCCAACTCCCCTCTCTGCTCACAGTTGATAATACTGGTCATATGTTACTGGGAATGCAGATAGTCATAGTCAAAAGGTATACTTTGAATATATTCATTGCATTATAATGAATGCAATGAATATTTGCATTCATACAATGAATATTATATTATTATTATAAAAAGTAGTGATTTATTGCTTTAACTAGAGTTTGTATATGATTTTATTCCTATATGTTTTTAATCTTTATGGATGGCTTTCATGGTAACTTTGCTTTACAACTCTCAGAAAAGGTATTGTTTTATATGACAATTCTTAACAAATCCACCAATGTTTGATGTACATTTTCTTTTATTCCTTTATATACTAGACAGACAAGCACATCTATCTCCAGTAAAATCAGTTGGAGTCTTGCCAATGGCTTCCTTTGATTTTTGACACAATTGCTCTGAAAGCACATGGCTTGTTTATCTGATGGGGACTAAATGAGCCCATGTAGCCTCTGAGAATAAAGCAGTTAAATACAATTTAGTAGCCATACTCTCAATGTATAAAGAATGCCTCCGTATATAGTGTACAAAAGCAGGTAAGTATGATCTATACTAGATTGCTTAAAGAAATTTGTACTGTGAATCTAAGAAACATGTTCTTGTGAGGCTCTGAAGCTCTCCAAATAGTGGTCTGTAAAACGAATTCAGTAACTACTTCAGTCAATCCAAATTTCATAGCCAACCAGTCATATTATATACTAAATAGAAGGCCTCTGAGGAGGGGCTACGGCTCATTGGTATGGCACCTGCCTTGGAGAAGGCCTTAGGTTCAGTCCCCAGCATCTCTAGGTAATACTGAAATAATGAAAAAAGTTATTTGTGAAAGCCAGTTTGACTCCATATAATGCAGCTTCCAGTTTTCCTGTGTTCCTATCACAAGTCAAAGGAAAGTATATAGTTTGTATAATAGCAGCTATAATACCACAAAACATAAATAAACCAAAATTATGTTTGAAATGCAGTATCGCATGTATATTCTGGATCACTCCATGAAAAAGATACAATCTCAAGAGAGGACCATGAACTGGAAGTTGAAAGGCTGCAATTGGAAATTCAGCAGTGCAGAGAGATGGTAAAAACTCAACAACAGCTCCTACAGGTAAGAAGTATTAAAACAGGTGGTAGAATAATATGATAAAAAGGTCAAAATGTAGATGAAGGATGCAAGAAGTGAAAATGAGAAACAAGTGCAGACTTGCACAAATCCAACTAATTTTTTATTTTAAAAATTACAAAAGTATTAGTGTACATTTGGGGTGCAAAAAACCCCAAAAAACTAGTGGTAAACCAGCGATGGATACCCCAACATGCCGCTTGGTCACCTCAGAGAGACAGTCAGTGGCTATCAAATTGGAAATTACAATAAATGATTCTGTTTTTGTTTTTAAATGTGCATAGGGGCAAGGAAAAATGCCACAGGACTGAAAAAAGGCTTCTATGCATTGATGGGGAGAGGAGAAAATGCATCTTTAGCTTCCAGGTTCCCCGGCATACTGACTGGAGGATCAGGCAGGGGAGGTGGGACTGGGGGACAACCCATGGGGAGCCTGATCATCTGTCAGGCACACTGTGGATTGTTTCATGAACATCCCACACTGTGTAGCTCATGCATGAGATGCCATGCAGGATTATGCAGAGTTACCTGCTTCAAACTTTCCATTAAAGCAGAAGTGGGCAACATGCCCTAAAAGGTGAAATTCTAACTTGCAAGCAAACTAAATGTGAACTTTTTGGTGTTCTGCATTGCTATGGGATCTCATGTTTCCCTCCTTTTTATAAAGATAATTTTGGGGGCACCCCAAAGTGTGCCAACATGCAGATGTTGTCCACCCTTGCTTTAAAGCATAATTTTGAATGCAGTGAGAAAAATCTAAGGTATACTCCACTGTAGCTGTTCTGCCTCTCTTGGAACTGATTAGTCTTAAAACTTCTCGAGTGTGGCAGGTGGAATAGTGTTCAAGTACAAACCAGCTGAATAGAAATGGAATCTTTTTTCCTTTTTTGGTGGCTCAGCTTTTCACTTCCTTCCTCTCACTATCACAACCCTCATGTTACTGTTCTTCTGACACCTTGTCGTAGTGCTGCTATTCCCTGATCCCCACCTACCCTATTTTTCAGTGCTTGGGGAAACTAAGGAGATGTTACTGTGGCAGAAGTAGATTCAAAATAAACACTTCCAATTTTTCTGTTCTTCACATTTTACCTGCAGCAGCAGCTAATTTCTCCTTGTAGCGATGATGACACCAGTATGTTGCTTCAGGATTGTTACTTGCTAGAAGAAAAAGAGCGACTAAAGGAGGAATGGAAACTGTTTAGAGAACAAAAAAAGAACTTTGAGAGAGAACGCAAAAGTTTTACTGAAGCTGCCATTAGACTAGGACTTGAGGTACTCAAAAAGTTCAGTATTTTTTAATGGTGGAGAGGCACCTTTTTGCACTTCTCAGTGATCAAGATTACCAAGACCTCAGGCCATCCAACCCAGCATGCTTTGTTTTTATTGTGCTAACTGTAAAAACACTGGAATGCTCAGAAGGAGAGATTTCTGTTAATGTGCACTGGACATGTGCCAGGAAGCTCTCCCTGGCAGTAATTATTCTGCATGCGTTTGTTTTGTGTCTACAGAGGTGTGTCCCATGTTGGTCTGAAAACATGTCTGATGTGCAACTTGTGAATGATCTGTTTACAGCCTGTAAACAGTATCCCCCTGATGCATACCAAGCTACAAATGGGCTGAAATGCAAAGACATATTTGACATGCAAAGACTTGAAGTGATTCACTGTGATAATCTTGCATTTTCTCTTGGTGCAGAGAAAGGCATTTGAGGAAGACCGTGGAGCTTGGCTAAAACAACAGTTCTTAAGTATGACTTCTGATCACATGAAACCTCAGTGTGCCTTCCAGGGAAGTAAGTATTAGCTATAAAAGCAAAAATAATATATGTGGGTACATCCATACAATCCAAACATGTTGTGATATGAAATATAATTTAATTTATTCTACTTATACTTTGCATATTTATAAGAAGTGGAAGATATGGTCCATAGGCATGTGCACTATACCACAACAGTGTTCTGTGGCCCAGTGAGCTGCTGCAGTAGTATGCCTTTCCAGCTGCTCTTTAAATTCCGGTGATCCGCCACCAAGATGGTAAAAGTTCCTTGCTCTCCCCCATACATCCTCACCTTCATATGTATTTCACCTTCTGAACTCAGCTATTGACTGGAGATTCCCATACAGTTTGCTGAATTCTCACAACATGGGAAAGTGAGCAGATGTCATAGTCTTTAAATCATGCAAATGTGATAACACCGATCTAAGGGTTATCATTCCCAGTTGTATATCTGGCTCATAGGTTTGGTGGATTTTGGCAATGTATATACCTTATGCAGATTTACAGAAATGGTGCCTGATTGCCTATGGCACATAAAGATTACATCCAGGCAATCTTTGGCTGTATTTTCTTTCTTTTTTCTCCTAGCTAAGGACAAAAGGAAAGGACTGGACAGCCTTTTCCCATTTTTCCCAGCTAAGAAATGCAAAGTTACTTACTATTGCTTTTTCTGAATTTCTTCTCTCTCTCTCTTTCCACTCATAGCTGTAGAGGCTGACTGTGAGAGGTTGCATCTCCTCCCCCTGCACCCACTGATTGGGACTTACCATTTTTATTGTAACTGCTCTCATTTGCTTCCTGCCATTAGTTCAGAATTGTGCAAAGTCATCTTAAAACTAAAGGCAAATCCTTTCCTGATTTCCTCCCTGCTTTTTGAACATTTGCTGTGTTTGTTTCCTAAGATTCTGACTTGGACAATCTATTAGCCAATGCCAGATCTCGACAAAAGAAACAGAACAACTTGTCCAATGTTTCTAAGTACTCGGATGTTTGCCAGATAGCTCAGCATATTCCTGAGAACAGGTACGTACATTCCCCCACCCCATCACTTTATTCTTTTCGCTTTCCAACAACCCAAAAAATACTTGACTATGATAGACACATTCACAGCCCTGAGAAAGCATTCCACTAGACACTTGTAAGAAGCTTCTAGACTTTCAGGATTCATTATCATTGTCACATTGATATTCTTTTCCTCTGGTGAGGAATCCAAAGCTGCTTACCTAGTTCTCCTCCATTCCATATTTGGCCTCACAATAACAACCTAGTCAGCCGGTCAACTTCATGACCCAATGGGGACTAGAACCCAGATCTCTTGAGCCCCTGTCCATCACTCAACCCACCTTCCCACACTGACTCCAACCTTCCTGTCTAGCTGACAGGGTAGCTTCTGCAATGAAAAGGAGTGTATATTCACCTGTATTCCCTTAGGATCTTTATTACACCGAGAGATCAATCGTGTGACCCCTGCACAGCTTCTAAGTGGATTCTGAGGTGTGAGACCAAGCCCTGACTTTGGAGCTGGGCATCCATACTCGGATTTCCCTTGAAGCTTGTGCAGAATGAGTCATGCTGGGTTCTTCTCTGAAGGTGGGAAAGCAATCATGGAGAAGGGCCTAAGGGGTCCTGGAGGAAGGGTGACTGGGGCTGTCATGAAATGAACTATCGTGGCTGTCTGGCTGAAATGTAGGGCAGGATGTGTAGATAGGTAGAGATCACCCCTGCTGCTGTGCATGGGATGTATGTAAGCCTCTGAGTCTGGGGGTTTATGAATGTTCTTAGGTTTGGAAAACTACAGTTAAAAGTGTCTTGCATATGGCAGGCCTTAACAGATCACATAGGTGGCATTAGCCCACTGGCTGTGCATTTCTGCTTCTCACTGCCTCTTGTTTTTTAGCGCAGAAGAGAAGAAAACCAGAACCCAAACTGCATTGTGACATGTAATCAGTAAATGGTATTCCGTTTGTGTATATATTGTGTCAGCAGTTGTGTAGGGTCAGGCTTCTTATCTGTCTCACAGCCTTGTCTTTGTATATGTAAACACATTTCAGAATAGGCATGTTAATTTTTTTCTTGTTTTATGTGGTTTCTTTCCCCCAGTTCAAGCATTCTGGATAAAGCACCTAAGGACCGAACGCTAAGCCAGCTCAGAAGGGAACAGTTGAGAAAGATGCAGGCCAGTGATGCCAGCCCTGTTGCACAGGATGATATGGCTAGTTTATGCATACGACTACCAGAAAACTTGGTGCAGAGCACATAGAGTACTTGCCTTAGAATCTTTCTTGCTGTCTTTTGTTAAGCAGATGTGTCCATAAACTTTTTGCCTTCATTTAGCGAAACAGGTTGTAAGCAGTGGAATTGATCAGTGGTGGTGCTAGCAGTTGTGCTGTATGTGCGGGTTTTTAAAGATTCCCCCTCCCCCACCCTAGCTTTCCTAATTGCCCCTTTTGAGAGGCTGTTTAAAAAGCAACAATTCATTCAGATTTCTTAAAATCTTACAGTGGAAGACTAGGTTCTTTAACTGATGGAATGTGTGAAATTCCAATGACAAAATGCTTCAGTGCTGGTATTCTTTCTTTTTTTCCACTTCAGGCAAACGTAGCACTTTTACCACTAGTTTATGATGAAAAGTTCACTTGTGTTTCAACTGTAACTGGCATTGAAATGTCTTTTTCTTAACTTGAATGTACAGTACAGTATATTATAGATGATTAACATGATAGGTTCTATATTTATTGTGATCTTAGATTACCTCTTTTAATATCTCGTAAATTAAAAAAGCAAGGCCTTAGTTTTCAGATAGATGAGATTAAAGAATTATGTGATAATGCCAGACAATTAAATTCATGGATCCAAAAATTATAATATTTTATATGCCAATCATAACTGAGGTTCTTTGTGATACAATGTTTACAGATGAGTTTTTTAAGCCTATCGTTTCAATGAAAAATAAATTATTATAAAATGCATTTGCAAAATAAATGTAGTATGTGTACACAAGCGATTCTGTTTTGTGTTTTCTTTATTGAGTTAAAAACATTGTACTCTGCAGGAGCAGTGTGCTAATCTGTGGTCAGTGTGGCTTCTTCTAGCTCGCCAAATGTTTCCATGTGACCTCAGGAATTCAAAGGTCAATTCTGCTGTGTTCCTGATTGTTTATTTACACTTGAAGAATGTAAGCTGTATTTATTAGTAGAATGCTGTATCATATTTCTGTTAGTCGATTTAGAAGGAAAAAAGAATTGCAGTATTTTTCTACTAGTAAAGGTAAAGGTTTCCCCTTGACCTTAAAGTCCAGTCATGCCTGACTCTAGGGGGCGGTGCTCATCTCCGTTTCCTAGCCGAGGGAGCCAGCGTTTTTCTGCAGACAGTCTCCGTGGTCATGTGGCCGGCATGACTAAACACCAAGGTGCACGGAACGCTGTTACCTGCCCACCGAAGTGGTACCTTTTTATCTACTTGCATTTGTATGCTTTCGAACTGCAAGGTTGGCAGGAGCTGGGACGGAGCAATGGGAACTCACCCCATTGTGCAGACTCGAACTGGCAACTTTTCGATCAACCAGCCCAGCAGCTCAGCAGTTTAACCCACTGTGCCACCTGCACCCATGTTACAAATAAGAAGTCTGGATTATTTTTGTAAGAAACTCAGGTTTTAAAAAAGAAGCAAATGTTATGCTGAGAATAGACCACGGAAATCAACGACTAACTTAAGTCTGGATCCAAACTGTAATTTGAATGGACAGATGCATGTCATGTTGTCCCTCTGAAGTCAAATCTCTTGTGCAGATCTACTGAATTTCAAGAACATTATAACCAGCTATAAAACAAAATCTGTCTTGTCCTTCTGTAAAAGACAGAAAAACTCTATCATCCAGTTTTAACTGATCTGTTTAACAGGACCTAAAGAAAACAATGGTTTACTTCAGTCATGTGAAAATGGTCTAGAATCGTAGAATAGTAGAGCTGGAAGGGACCATTGGGTCGAACCCATTGCTCAGTGCAGGTCTCCAACTTAAAACCATCCCTCTCAGAAGGTTGTCCAGAATGCCTCTAGTATGGGAGAACCCACAACCTCCTGGGGTAATTAGATCCGTTGCTGCACTGTTCTAACAGTCCAGAGGTTCTTCCTGATATCTAGCCAGATAAGGTAGTTTCTATAACTTGAACCCATTTTTCCATGCCCTACATTCTGGGACAATTGAAAAGAGATCCTGTTTTTCCTCTTCATGACACCCTTTCAAGTACTTCTGAGTCTAGTGCTGAAGCATTTCATTTTAGATATTTGCAAGACTAGTGGTGTTGAACAATGAAAATGGCTCAAGATGGCAAATGTTCATTTGGCAGATGGCAAGGCTCCACAGCTCAATGGCACAGCACACAGTAGGTCCCATGTTTAGGCTATGGCACCTCCAATTGAAAACACCAAGAGGCCGGTGAAAGAAAAGACACTTGCCCACCTCAGACCCAGGAGGGCTGATACCAAGCAGAGTAGACAGTACTGAGTGAGCTGGGCAAATCACGAGGCCTCACATAAGGCAGAGTCTTCTGGTTTTCAATTTGTCACAATTTCTAATAGATCCATGGCCACAATGCCAGGTTAAAAACCACTGGTTCCCTAAGGTATTTATAAATGGTTAGGTGCCACTGCAGTCATTCTCACTGCTGATGGTTGTTATGATTTTATTATACACAAAAAGGATTTGGCTGTGGAGTGGTATAGAAATAAAACAAAAAAGCCATCATAATATCTGTACTTATTGCATTTTGTTTTGCTTTACTGCTGTTATTTTAACATCATGGTTAACCAGTGTAGGATTTATTTCTTTTCAAAGTAATCAATGGGATATAAATACTATAACTTTAACTGTGATTATATATGAACAAGTCAGTGAACAATTCAGATCTGCGGCTTTTCTCCTAGATCACCTATTCCTGTTCATATAAAAACAGAAATAAAGCAAAGTAAAGCAAGTCCTCAGTCATTAAAAGCCTCAGATTCTGGTGGTTTCTGAATTTTGTTTTCATCAGTACTCCCCCGATCACGGTGGCCCTTCAGATGTTAGGCCTGCAACACCCATCACCAATGAAGATTGGTGAAGAGTAGTGTATCCACTCTGGCTTTCAGAAGCTTTCCCTAGTCCATAGTGGAGATGGGGTTCAGAACAAGGGATCCTTTATAGTTCAGACTAAAGCTCAGAAACGATGCAGGTCCCTACTGATATTGGAGCCACTGGCTTCCATTGCCCATCAGCCCTAAGCAGCATAGGCAATAGTGGGGGCTTATGGGATTTGTAATCAAAACATATCGAATGGAACAATGTATCATTCTCTGAACTAGGGGAACTGGCAGTGCTCACTTTGTTAATAAATATTACTCTGATGAAGCAAAAGGCCCACTGTGCCCTTGCATGCACAGTGGAGGATAATTTTGAATCCTCCAAAATTATGGAGGATAATTTTGAATCCTGGAAGGGAGGTATTTTGCTCCAATGGCTCCAGGAGAGCCTCAGAGAATCAGAGAGACTGCAGATTCAGGAATCCTAAGCTATTAGGAACCTTGCACCCTGAAACACTCCATTTTGGAGTCTTAGTTAGTTACTGCTGGTGGGAATGCTGTGGCCATGGGCTTTCTGGCTGCAGAGCTTTCTGCAGGCAGAACTAGGATGCCAGCAAGGGCAAAGGCTACTCCTGGCAGAGCTCTTCTCTGGGGACGGCAGGACAGGAAGGCCCCATATGAACTCTTCAGTTTAATCCCTTTTGTGTGCCCATTCAGTTTGACATTAAAGAACAGCAGCAATATATATCCTTTATCGCTGTGACCCATAATTCAGAGGCCTATGTGATAAGCCTATTTTTTAATAATAAATCCATCTATGATTGTATGTATATCCCTGTGTGGGAGATGGGCTTGTGTTTTTATATCCAAGTTTTTGGGGGCCCTTTGGGCAAGGTCCTTTTAGTAGAGGCCCTTTTCTGTGCGTCCCCTCAAATCCTGTGCAAGACAACCAGGCCTTCTTGCTTGCTTCCCCCTTTGGCTCCAATCCAGACAGCCACCCAGAGAGAAAATGTGGAACTGCTAGAGGGAGCCGCTTTATCTCCTTTTACAGAGGGTCTAGGCAGTATTGTCTTCTACTTTTTACCCCTCTTATCTTCTCATCTCTTTCCATCTTTTTATTAATGCAAAAAGCATCAAAGAGAAAGCAGAACAGCTGCGCAAGAGCCAATTGAGCCAGCTGTCTCGAAGCAACTCACCTCTGATTTGTGTGTGTGTGTTTGTTGTGTGTGTGTGTGTTTTACTGAAAATGTATCACATTCTAACAGACAGCTTAAATCGGGAGTGGACAGCATCAGGTGCTCTGGGGCAAGCCTGTTTCCACCCCATGGACCTGCTCAGAGGCCACATGCCTTTTGCCACCATCATGCTGCCAAAAATTCAGTCATGTGGTGGCACCAAACTAAAAACCCCACCACTTGCTACCAAAATTCCATGGCAAGCTGCTACAGAGGCTTTAAAATATGCTGTTTGGTTTGAAAACAAACTAAATTGGGCACGTGTGAATCTCCATTACAGATAACTTGCCACTGAAATTCAGCAGTCAACTTTTTTTCCTGTTGCAATGTGGCACTAGGGACAGTGAATGTTACTCTAGAGGTGATAGAGGGCTGCACATTGTCCTTTCCTGGTAATTAAAGAACATTTTTAAAAATCAAAAGATTGTATTAATTCTTTTTTCTTTAGATCTCCTATTACAGGCATCATTACCAAAGCAGTTACCTAGCACTCCCAAGAACTGTGAAGGGGCAGGAAGAGGAATGAACAGAGAAATATCCACAGGCAACAGGTTCAATCCAATACTATCTGCCCTCGAGGCATAGAAGGCTCTGAATGTGATGCAGCACACATGGTGCAGCAATGATCTTTGGCACGCCGTTCTTTGCACATTCAGACAGCCATTCTTGGCCCTCGCCATGAAGTGCTGCAAAGAGGGAAGGAAGGAAGCTAGAGCCCAGTCTGGGTATGGGCATAGTCTACCAGCCCCAGCCTCCTCCTTCCCACCTGCACCTGGCTTACCAATTTAGTTCTCCACAAGGTTGATTTCTGGCATTGGAGGTGCGGTCCGCATGGGTTTTTTTCCATGCCACACTTGAGGAGCTTGGTATGGGGGCTCTGCATTTGGAGTCCCCGCTCCAAGGCTCTCTGTCCTCATAGCTGAGGCTCCAAATAATCCTTTGGCCCTCCAAGACATTGTCAGGAAGTCACGGGATTGCACCCTAAAAGGCTTAATCTATAAATTCAGACCATGTTTCTTGGAGTTATTTTCCTCTTAGGCAACACTGCTGTATCTCCAAGTATGGCATGGTCACAGTGACCAAGGGGTAATCTGCAAATATTGTAGCTTCCAAAGTAAATGCTTGCTTAAAATGTGAATAAGTAAGTTACCTGGAACTGCAGTAACAGTGCATTCTGGGGTGTTTGCAGGGCAATGAGAACCTTCCAACTTTCTTACAAATAGGTCATCTTGGGAAAGCAAAGGGTGAGTAAAGCGAACATTGCCATCAATCCAGCCAGATC